CCAATCCCGGCTTCATCAGCCTGGGCCTGCTCCACTTTGTTGAAAGGGACGTTCCCTGAAGCACTCCCAGGTGCCGACTCTAGAGGAGACTTCACACTCTTGCACTCTGATGAAGGAAAGGGGGGCAAGTGCTGCTTTCAGGCTTCTCTTCCTTTTTGGCAACCAAGAAGAGTTGTGTTAAGTGCGTTCAAAGTTTCATTCAATATTTTGTAAGTACCTGAACATAGCTGATGCCCCATTCAGTGTTTTGCATCTAGTTACTGTAAATGGGTATGACAGAGGCCCAAGTGTGCCTCAGTAGGTATCTATGTAAGATTTACTGCCTGGTAAGTGGTCATCGGAGTGCAACTTAAAGTGCTTTTAGCTTTTTGCTGTGGCCCATGAATACTTTTGAGATAAGCAGCTAGCTCTGCTCACAGGGTATAGGAGAGCAGTTATCCTGTGCAAAAGCTTTACACTCTTAGCACTGATACTGTGAAAGGATAATGGAAAAATATGGTGGAGTGAGGAGAGATTGAAAGAGAGAGAGAGAGAGAGAGAGAGAGAGGAGGGGGGGAGCTGTGTTTGAGAGCAAGGCACCAAAAAGGAAAGCAAAGCCATTGACGCGGATATCATGGAAAATAAATGGTGAGAAATGGCCCAGCACAGGTTTCAAAAACTCACATTCTCTAAAGGGTTGAAAAGTCCTTTATGCCATCCAGTGGTGCTATTTCATCTCATCCTGATAGTTGTTTCAGTGTCATACAACATCCTATTTCTCTCCAGTGTCATTTTCAGGTAACATTAATACCACAGAAGCAAAAAAGAAAGAAAGATACATCTGTCATGTCTCATTTACTCAGAGCAAAGTCATATGGGGGCATTTTCTACATTCATTGATGCTGTTCCATCTCCAGCATATGCAGCAAGCACGTAGTGCCACTGGAAAATCGTAGTACATTTCTTGGCATCCCAAAAATGAGTGCAATATTCTAGTGAGAAAATCCCATGGGAGGAGCCAGTGAAGGAAGGCCTCATTACATCACAAAAGCCAGCTGGAAGTGTCCAGGGTCCTTCGCTGCTAGTAAATTTTGTGTGTAGTGGGGATAGTAATTTCCTCACGGATCTTAGAACAAATCCTTTTGCTTATTTCCTTCCCACTGCTCTGGAATGCAAAGCAGGTAGATAGAGCAAAAAGCAGGAGGCAGGTGGAATTAGGATGGTAATTAGACAGAGGGATTCAACTCCCACAGACTTCTCCTTTAGCTAAGGACTACTGACTTGTATCTGAATTGCCAGTCACAAGGAAACAGAACAGGGAATGCAGCCTGTAGATGCTAAGAAAAAGGAAGGGGATCTTTAATTAGCTCATTTTCAGGCAGAAATGAATTTCCTGGGAAGTGATTATTTGAGTCAGAACATATGGAGCATGTCCCAGGTGAACTGCAAAGAGCTGGATGCCTCCCAGACTTCAGCATTGTGTTCCAGGTGATGAGCACCAAGGAGAGCGTAACTATTTAGAATGGACAGTGCAGGATACAACCCCCCTTTGGTTGTGTTTCATTTTCATTAGATTTCTCCTGCTGCCATTAATGCCTGATTTTTTCCTTGCAAGCAATTTGTTTGTTTTTATGCAGTATTTGTTCAGTTCCCAATGCTTTGGTGTATTTCAAATCTACCTTAGCCTTCCCCACTCAGATGTGGAGGCGCCCTCTGGTTGTGTTGGATGACCATTCCCATCATTCTGGGTCTGTTTTAGGCTGGTGTGTATGTTGGAGAGAGCTTCAGTGGTACAATCAGCTGGGACAGCAATATCACAGCAGAAGTTACCTGTCCCAGTCTAATCTGTGCAATACTGATGTGTGTGATATTAAGCAGTCTCATAACAGCCTTGGGAGTCGGGGTTCCAGGACATGCGGCAGCCAGCTTCAAGGGTCAGCTGGGATCCAACCCTGAATTTGACAGTTTTGCAGCAGCAAATCACCACACGGTACTGGAGAGGTGGCAATAAAAAGAAGGGCAGACTGGTTGCCTCTGCAAGGGAGCAGTGCTCTGCTGCTTGGCAGGGAGGGTGGCCAGCGGCCTGTGGATCCTGCAGAGCCCCGTCCTGTGAAGAGAGAGGCTGGCCCACCACTCGAGCGGCCGCAGAGAGCTCGCCCCTTTGCCACTATCAGCTGTGCTCTGCCAGTGGTGGAAGGTGCGACGGGGCACTCCCTGGGTGTGTCAGGGAGACTCTGCGTTTGCAGGGTCCTGAGCAGCTGCATTGCCCTGAAATGGACTCGGAGTCACGCCAGCCTTGGATCTGGCATTGGAAATGCTCTCCCCTGGGGTCGGTGGGAGGGATTTTATCATCGTCACCATCACGTTTGTATCCTGCCTTTCTTGCAAGGAACCCAAGGTGGTTTATAAGGTTTGCCGCCTCTTCGTTTTTACCTTCCATCAACAGCCCTGCACAGTAGAAGAGGGCGAAAGTGAGTAACTGACATGAAGCCACCCAGTGAGCTTCACAGCCAAGTGGGGACGAGAGCTCACATTTCCTGAGTCCAGACAAGCGCTCCAGTCACTTCTCCACTATGAAAAAGGTTGAGGAGGGGAAATAAAGTTGCCACAGCGGACTTTAGTTTTATTAAAAACAGGGCCAAGTTTGGCCTAGCAAGGAGGCAAGCTATGGATGTGGCAGGACAAGCATTCGCATTATATTAAGAGCCCTTCACTTTTGGTGGAAGGATGCCAGCTGGCAGATATGCTGCTCATGTGCAAAAGCACGCACACATATTCCGCCTGGAATAGGGATGTGCTGGGGGTGAGCATGTCCATTTGGAGAGATTCACTGTGCTTCCTTCCTGAGTGCTTGAGATGTACAAACATTTTGTGGTTAGATCTAAATGTAAGCTTTACACATAACAAACGAAGAAAAATCCTGGGTGCGTTGTATCAGTTTGACACATGATCAAAATAAAATACAATACAATAAAATCCAGGGTACGTGCAAAGACAAAGCTAGAAAGTGATCTCATTATCCCCAAGTATGCCATGATTTCCTCTCTCTTGGAAGGGCGTGCATATTATAGCTAGATGAATATACCTAGGAGAATTAAGAAGGCCAAAAAATGGTCCGGAGGGTCCAGGCTGCATTCAGTGAAGGCTGAAGTAGCACACGTCTACCCAGCAGAATCAGTGTGGGGCTAGTTAACAAAACCGTGCTCAGTAGTCTGTGAAGCCACAGAATTCTGCCCTGTATCAGGGATTTGCATGAGGAGCAGCAGAGGATGCTCATCAGATTTGCAGGTGACATGAGACTGGGTGGGATAGCTAAAATCTTGGAAGATGGGAACAACATGCAAAATCATCTCGATAGGCTGGTGCACTGGGCTGAAAACAAGAGAATGAAATTAAAATGGATAAACACCTAGCGCTTCACCTAGAAAAAGAAAATCAGGTCACGCTTCATTACACAATGGGTAGTGGTACTTCGCACAATACTGCAGGTGAGAAGGATCTTGGAATTGTAGGTCACAAACTGAATGTGAGTCAACAATGTGATGTGGCTGCAACAAAAGGCAGATGTTATTTTGGGCTGCACAAGTATCAATTCAGATCACATAAAATACTGGTTCCTCTCTTCTCAGCCCTGGTTAGGCCTCATCTGGAATACTGCATACAATTCTTGCTGTACAATTTTAATTTTTAAAAGATGCAGACAAGCGGGGAAAGTTTCAGAGGAGGAGAACAAAGATGATCAGGGGACTGGCAACACAGTCCTGTGATGATAGAAAAGGAGAGCTGGGCTTGTTTAGGCTTGAGGGGAGCTGTGATAGGGCTCTTCAAGAACTTGAAAAGTCGTCATGTGGAGGAGGGCTGGGATCCTTCTTGGTCAATCCTAGTGCAAGGACAGGTAATAATGGGCTTCAGTTACAGGAAGCCAGATTCTGGCTGATCATCAGGGGAGACTTCCTGACTGTTGGAGCAGGGCAACAATAAAACCAGTTACCTAGGGAGCGTATGGGCTCTCCCACACTGGAGGCATCCACGATGCAGCTGGACAGCCATCTGTCAGGGTTATGATGACTTGGAAACCTGTATTGAGCCGGCAGTTGGACCTTCTGCCCTCTTTCAGACTTGACTATTGTATGATTCTATGACACCAACAAATGTAATGGCCTTGATGACACATCTAGAGAGTAAACACAGGTAGAGCTAAGCTGAATCATCATGGCTTCACTTTTCTCATTCAAATCTGCATGTTCGTGAGGGAAACTTTTTGTGGAGCATCCTGTAGGTTGTTTGGGCAATGCACTATTTCCTGCAACATCCAAAAGCAAACTTCTCATGTCCCAGTCTTGAAAGAAGAATAGACTTTGAGTAAGAAGCACACTTAAAACAGGCAGAGTGGGGTTGTTTTGTTTTTGTTTTACAGTTATGAAATGATGGTCAGTTCTGCTAGCATGCCACTTAATACAGTAAAATCTTTAAGCATGTTATATAGCAAAACATTAAAATCACAGTTAATACATGTATTGCATGGCCCTGGGGGTATTTTACCTCCAGCATTGAAAGGTAGAGAGATGAAGGAAGCTATAGCTATCAATGATGCCCAATTAACTTGGGTGACTTGTCTTTCTGTCCACTTGTTCTTCAAGACTGATGGCTGGGTAGGCCCTGTCCTTGCGTTTCTGTAGCCTGGGGAGGCGACAGTCAGGCGAGTAGCAGTGGAGGCGACAGCCTGTCTTCACTGGCCAGTGGCGTCTGTGTCTGGTGGGAAGAAGGGGGAGTTGTTGTCTGCGCCGGATGGATGCTGCCCTTCCAAGGGAGAGCCTTCGCTGGATCTCTGGAAAGAAGCATGCAATGCCAAGCGGGCAGGCGGGCAGCTGCGCATAAACTGAAACTTAGCTTTGTGTCATTATATGTGTTTGCCATATCGCCCAGTTGCATTGTATGAACAAATCAAACAAAATGTGTGTCTTGGGAATAAAGTATGTTGTTGAAGGGTGAAAATGGGCTAATTTGAGCTTTGTTCCTAGCCCTCTCCATGTGAATGGTGTCGCTGTGAACCCAGCAATGAAGTCCACTGTGTTGTAGCAGACTGTGCCGTTCCTGAATGTGTCAACCCGGTCTATGAGCCAGAGCAGTGCTGCCCAGTCTGCAAAAACGGTAAGCTCGCAATGCACACAAAAGCGGAGCGCCTTCCGTCCTCTCAATCAGCGGGAACCTCCTCAGCATTCAGAAGCTTAACCTCATTAGGAAAGACATGGTTTTAGCCCTACCAGGAGTAAACTCGTCAGCACAAATGCTGCTTAATTAACATGAGCCTAGCGTTAGGCTTTCCATGCAGGGCTATCTCTGGAGTTAGAGAAGCACAGCCTCACTTGCAGCATGGGAGCTAAGAACCATCCGATTGATTAGCAAATGTGCTTCTGAGGTAATAATGCCAATTCTTGATGGATGCCGCTGTAATCCATGTGCCATAGCACACGCTTACACAGATCATGGTATCGGATGGTTAGAGTTTTGTGTTTCCTCTGGGAAGGCCAACCAAAGTCAAAGCAAAGGGGTTCCCCAAAAGAGCAGCAGAAGCAGATAAGGGGACGAACCAAGGGAACCAGCCAACCGACTATGGCAGGTGGTGTGATACCTTCAAAGCTTATGGACCTGGTTTGTGGATTAGAGTACACGGAGACAGGCAACAACACAAGACTCAGATGATGATTTCCTAAGCTCTAGCTTTGAGAACCTGAAGTTTTCCTTGCATATATTAATAACCATGAGGACTGTTAACAAACTGTTTAAAATCACCACCTTCAAGTTTATGTAACTCTAATCTGAAAAACTGGCAAGATGCACGGGCCTGGTTCAGTCCATCATGGGACTCAGCACAAGCAAGAGTGGCTAGCTTGTTTATTCCAAGTGCAGCTCAGATCCTGGCTGGCCCCTCTGGCAACCTAATGACATCATTGAGAGCTTACGGGGGGGGGGGGCGACACCTTCCCACGCCCTCTCCCCCTTTGCACCTGCCAGCTTTATGGGGAAAACAGCATTTCCTGAGGCTTCTGGAGCCTGGCTCAGTGCCAGCACCACAGCCAAGTGCTATTGATAGGCTGGGGGGGCACCCTGAGTTCCCAGAGCTCTGATTTCAAGCCCATATGTCTGCCTGAGGCTTAGCGCCATGCAGTATGCTAGGCTTCTGGTGGGGACCGCGAGGTGTCCTGGCTGGTGGTCTAAGCGAAGCGGCAGTGTGCGGAGGGGCATTGTACGCCGCGTGCTGCCACCCCGTTCGTCCAGCCGAGGACATCCCCTTGCCATGCACGGGCCTGGCGTGAGCCTCCCCCTTGTTCTGTTCTCTTGGCTATGATGGGAAGCGAAATCCAGCTCCATCTGTGCTGAGTAAATATGTCCATAACTGAGCTGTAAAAGTTCTCATTAAAAACTCTGTTCCCAAATATATTTATTCCAAATAAGCCTACCTAATTTCATCATCGCTTAGTTGTGCAATGTCGCTGGGATCTGCTGGAGAAGACGTAAGCCTACCTTTGAAGGTTGCTCCTTAGATTGGCCCGCAGTCCTAATAAATCAGCCTGCTTTCCACTCGCATGAGTCTTCACGCTCCACACCCCGCAGTCTGGGATGAATGGAAGCATCTGTTTGCTGCCGGTACTTGAGCAGGATCATCACCACAGCATCCTCCAGAACGTTGGATTTCATGAAATGTCACGTGTTCTTCATCAGCACACACACTGCTGATCTAGACGAGGAATTCTGAACAACATTTTGATTGTTCACATGAGGACACTTTAAAAGATAGGCAGGGTACGTGAGCAGTGCTAGATGGGGAACCAGTTAGCGCCCTCCTCCCCATGCTAGTGCCGCTCAGCAACGCAGCTGCTCCTTCATCCAGGGAAGCCTGTTTGGGTACTGTTGCTAACGGGACAATAGCAGTGATCTCCGGAGAAGTGAGTGAGAGAGAGGCAGAAAAGGTCCAATTGCTTTTGTTTCCGCACTTTGCTTTTCTTGTCTCTCTTTTTCTTGAAATACCTCCAGAATGACCCTGTTATGTAATGCTCTGAGCAGGAGCAATGCAATTCCATGCATCATTAGTTGGATGCAATCCCCATCTTGTTTAGTGAGTCTTACACCCAAGTAAACGGGTTTAGGATTTTAGTTTAAATACTTTTCAAATGTAAAAGGGTGGTATAGATGAGGTGGAGGGTATCTCACACTAAGTCCGCTACCAATAAGCCATGGTAGGTTGGCTCTTCAAATCCACAGTCACATTTATTGGGAGGCTGTCCCTCCACTCCCTCTTCCTCAGCCTTCTAGCCTGTTTTAACATGCATCCCAGTGTCCTTCAGGATGCAGAACCCCTCTTGTCTCCTCCTCCTCATTTCGATCATTTTGTTCACTGCCATTGTTTGGTTTGGTTTGGAGCCTCAAAAAAGCACCTTTGGAGTCAGTGTTGGGCATACGAGGCAGCTGTCGGAGTATGCCTGCACACACTTGAAGGATTGCAAAAATAATATAAAGAAAATTTACAACCTCAGTTGTGAATTTTTGAGGAATCAGACTTTAAAAGAAAGCCAGCGTGCCCTTTGCAGCAGTAGAAGGGCACTCACTGGCAAGGTCATGAAAGGAGACTGGTACGGGCTGCTCTGTAGCCCTTTTCAATAACCCAGGCTAAAATCACCCTGCCAGGTTCGGACAACATTACAACCCAATGTGGGCGAGAATGACCTTAAAGCAAGCCACAGATTCTCAGGGTGGCTCACTCATGAAAATTAAGCCACCCTGCAGAATGGCTCTGGGGTTGGGCAACATGGATCAGCATGGTGTACGAACCAGGTCACTGCCGTCCTGCAGGAGTCAGCCACACTAGTACAGCCAGTGATGAAGCTCTCTCTGTCTCCGTCACTTGCCTGGCTGGAGACTGTCCTGTTTCTCTAAGACCAGGCAATGCAACTTTGAGCTAGAAAAATGCAATTTCTCTGCCACAAAAGTGCTTTCTGGATCCCCCATTGCAAGTGAGCAAGGCACTGTGCATACGGAGTGCAATATGATGTTCACTGTAAGATGCCATGAGCATTTCTAGAAGTCAATGTCTTGAGTTTTGATTATGGCTTCAAAATGCACGTGCTTGATGTGGGAAAAGCTTCCAATATAATGTGCAAAAAATGAACAGGAAAAGGCACCTGAAGGCTAGTTTCTAAGGCTTCACGGACTTGTGCACAGTCCTGGTGCTCACCAGTGAGGCTCAGTGCAAGTGACTTCCATGGCCTGGGAGCAAAGGAAGCATACAGTCGCACTCTTCTTGCTCAAGCTCAGGGCGTTCCCTTGCACGAGCAGCTAGGGAAACCCCAGGAGGGGCTCCATGCCGCCCATGGGCTGCAGTTGGCGCTCAGGGCTGGTGCTTTCCGGTTGGCTCGCTTCGTCCAACCTAGCAGTTGCCCTGTGAACTGAACTGCAGCCCCCATCAGTCGGTGGGGTTTGCAGTTCAGCACTTCTGGAAGGCACCAGGCCAGGCACTGCCTGCGGCTCAGCTGCCCCTTTGGGTCAAGGGCCCTCCCTGAACTTGTCTGCACTGCTTCTTTGCTGCCCTTGCTCTGGGGCTCCCTGCAGGTGTTGCTTACACATTCGGGCATTTGGGTGCTTGTTCACATTGCCTTTGCACTTTGGTATAAAATAAATGAAATTTCAACAGTGCAGCCAAAAGCTGACTTAAAAACAGAGATGATGTTACATGTAAGATGGATATGTGTGGAAGGAAGCCTCGAAAGCTCAGCTCTGGTTGTTTCGAAAGAGAGGGGAGTGATGGCAGCTCTCTGGAGTCTCCTGGCGCTTGCCGCTCTGACTCACAGCCTCCTTTTGTTTACCCCAGGTATGCAAAGTGGGCTGCAGTTACTGAGGGATCATTCTGAACATGCTCAGAGGTGCTCTCATATTATTACTGGCAGATCTGATCTCTGACTGCATTCAGCCATGACTGAAGGAAAGCACAGCTGCGGAACATTCCTGGCAGTGTCATTTTCTATTTTAGGGATCTAGCTTCAAAAATACACTCGCAATGCCACCACGTGATGTGCATTCTCATTAAAACTATCGGTTTCTTGCAAATTTAGCACTCTGCAGCTGGGCAAACCCCCTTCAGCACTGGGCTGTGCTGTCTGTACCAGGCAGTCTGACTCACCTGCAAAACTCTTGTGGCTGTTAAGCGGCCAATAATTTCCTCTCAATACACTGAGATTGATTTTTATGCCTTTCTTAATTATAAATTACCAAAAGCAGAAAGCTGTGCAGCAGCAGGACTGATGCAGAACGTGGCTGCCTCAAGCACTCCTGACCTGAAGATTCAGAGGGAGCCCCCACCCCACCCCTCCAGCAGCAGCCGGGGCGTGCACGCCTATGTCCCTCACGTGATTGCTGCGCCCCCATGCGGTAGCAGGCCTGAGTGGAACAGTCACGCAGGGCAGCCTTACCAAAGGCAGCCGAACCCAGGCAGAGGGGGCACAGCACCTGGGAGGAGCTCTGTAGGGGAAAGCAGGTGCTGACTCGGTCGGTGTGTGTGTTCGGAGCTGCCCCTTCCTCGGGTGTCCGTGTTGCTTGCCTTCAGCCACCACTGCATGTGTAAGGGCGCTGGCCACCTCCCAGCATGCCCCGGGCTGCAGAGGGGTTGGATGCACAGGGGGAGAATGGCCTGATTTGCACCCTCTTGTGGCCAGTGCCTTCCCAAGTATCACCCATGGCTGTGGTGATACCTCCCATCCTGAAGACCGTGACCTCATGTGCCAGCACACATGTGTGCCACAGTGATGCATGGGCAGAGTATGGGCCGAGAGCATGCGTGCGCTGAGTGCAGTGGGCTGGCCCATGAGGAGGAGCGCTTGATGCTCTGCACTGTGGTAAAATCTGTGAGGAGCTGCCTCCGCAGGAAGGGCCTTTCGGTGGCACTGCAAGTGGAAGGTGCTGGACGACAGGGATCCGCTGGGTGGGACCAGACTTGTCATGCTTGGTTTCGTATACTCACTGGCAGCTGCAGAGGGAGAGGTCCAATCCAGAGGAGGACTTGGTGTACAGGAGAGATTACCCTTTGCCCTGCCCCAGTCTTGATTAGGCTGCTTTTTGGCAAACAGAAATGGAGTCTGCCTAGCCAGCCATGCCTGGCT